TAATTTAGATTATCTTTATCCTTAAATTAAGGAAATTCTTAATTTGGTCATCGCTTTTGCTCGAGGTTCCAATTTAATTATTCGAATTGCAATATTGATTAAAATTAATTTAAATTAACATTAGAGCCTCCATTTTAGATTAGATTTCAATTTAGTCTCTTTAATTTAGGGAGTAATATGAGTTGGCTCTCGCCTAAATGTTCAAGGGACCATACCGATTATTCAATTCGATAATTGATTAAAATCAAATAAGAATAATATTACAACCTACATTTTTAGGTTTATGCCTCTAGGTTCTTTAATTTTTATAATTTGACACTTTAAGATAGAACCTTAATCTACCCTTAGTTAATTAGGATCAATAATAATTTATTTGATTGCATTTTATTTTAAAATTTAAGGCAATGTTCACTTATTAGGGAGTTAATGGTATATCTCCTGCAAGTATGCACAATGGTGACTACTGGTGATTCCCGAAATAGATTGACATCATTTTCAAAATCGCATCATGATTTCTGAAATTAAGGCAATGTCCGATTAGTAGGCATAATAGCTGATCTCCCGCATTTATTCTAGGGGCGAATGTTATCGGCCATAATAAATGAATACATTTTTCAACTTTGCATTCGTAATGATTTTTAAATTAAATAAAGTTCGAACTTAAAATTTCTGATTCTAAATATAGGGTAATCAACTAGGTACCAATTTTTGGTGTGCTTATGGGGGTTCTAATCCTTCCCACGCGTAACCGACTCTCGAACCTGATTTATGGATTTTTGTAGATCTTAAAACTTGATATTTTGATAAAAAAATGTTTTATTAAAATAGCCCGATTTTTATGGTGTCCCAATCGCACCTTAAATGATTGGTAGCGACTCCTCACATTTCAAAATTCTTTTTAAAGAAAAACCCCCAAGTCGGTATCGGTCTTTCCCCGCACGAGCGAAAAACGATGTCAACAAATCCACTATAAACCTTAAGAACACAAATAGTACAAAAACATAATATCACATGTATTCTAGAACTCGATATATATACTGAAACCCGATATATCTCAAAACATTCTTTCAATCTCTACAAAATTATCTCTGTAACGTAAACCCCAAAAATTGCATAGATCTCGAAAAGGATTACATCTCTACAAAATAACTTTCTCTCAAAGAATTCTAAGGGTGTGTTTGGTTGGGGGAATGTGAGATTCCCATGGGAATGAAATTCACAATCCCCCGTTTGGTTGGTCGGGAATGTCATTCCCGGTAATCTTATATTACCAATTGTGGATTTTTTGGGTATATTACCGGGAATGTTATTACCTCCCTTTCCTTATGTATTGTTGGATTACCGGCATTTTGGATTAAAATGCCCTTAAAATATTTTTTTCTTTCAAAAATATCCTTATTCTGTCATTGAATAATAAAAATTCTACGAAGGTTAAATTACAAATTTATCCTTAAACTATTTTAGATTTACAAAAAAAAAATCTATAATTAAAATTTTATATAAAGTTCAGGGGTTAAAATAAAATTTTACCCTTTCATTAAACATTTTTATATTTTCAATTTTGTAAAAACAATTATATAAATTTTATGAATTTAAATTTTTTAAAGAAAATATATAAACATTTTCCAACTTGTTAAAAAAACAAATATATAATAAAGACAATTTGGTCAAATATACATTCCAATAATCTTTTATTCCTTTAACCAAACACGGTAATCTTATATTACTGCTAAACCAACCAAACACAAAATGCAACATTCCCAGTAATCCTATTCACTGGTAATCTTTTATTCTCACTGGTAATCTTACATTTCGTGAACCAAACGCACCCTAAAGGTTAAGACATAATCTCTATTTATAAAGCTAAATACTTGGTCACCAAGAATTATTATAAATAAGAATTATTGCCTAAAATAAATATTTACTTTATTAAATATACCTAATTACCAAGTAATCTTTAAACAATATAATTACAATAAAGTTCAACTTAATTACCAATTATAATTTGAGTCAAAATATAACAATAAATTTTATTGTCAAAAAATGAATTAAAGTTACACATGTATCCTATAATAATTGAGTTTCATGTGGTTCAAATTTTGTAAAAAAATATATTTAAAATGAAGAAAGAATTGAAGAAATATAGAAATTGAAACCAAATTACAAAACAATCAAATTACCAGCAAAAGCAAAAATTGACATAGTTCTAATATTTAATTTTTTATTTATTTTAAATTTTAAATTGGACTGACTAATTTGATTTAATTAAAATAATTTGAACAGCCCAAATAAATAAAAATTTAAAAATTAATTTTTAATCGAATTTAGTTAGGTTAATTACTAACTACACACGTATGCTTCAAATATTTCTTAAGGAAGACTTCAAATAATTATTTTATAGAAAATTAATTTTTATTATTTCCAGCAATTATTATTTTATATTCTAAGAGCATAGATTTACAATTGAATTTGTATTATAATGATAATTAATAATTATACACATATGAGATAAATAAAATAATAATGTATATCAAATAATTTTTTTATAAAAAATTAAATAGTATAATAGTATGAAAATTAAAATATCATTTGAATTTATCATGACAAACAAGAACCATAAATTATTTCTTTATGTAAATTGAATTAGAAGAAATTATGAACTAAAACAGGATACAAACTCAATTTTTTTTATATATCAAATTACTATGCAAAGCATGATATAGATTAAAACGTAAAGTTGGTTACATAAATAATAAACACATAAAATTTTCTCATATACTAATGCAACATTAAATAAACAAAACAAAAATAAATAAAATAAAAATGTAAGAATACACAAATTATTAAAATATGAAAATATGAATGAAAAATAAAATTCTTAATTTTTATATAAAAATCACTACAAAAGTTATTAAAAACTGGAGCTTTCATTTAAATTTATACTGATAAATCTATAATACTTTAAATAGGAAAATACAAAGAATTCTGTAATATTTGGTCTCTCTTCATATGCCACCTCACGTGAACATCACCTAAAATAAACTAAATTGGAAAAAAAAAGCATGCGTCAAATATCTTAAGGCTAAAGCACAGTCTCTACAGTTCCAGTATTCCAGGTATAAGTAATAGATATGTCATATATATCTAAAATTTCCGAATCCAAGATAAATGATACATTCACTTTAATTTTAAATTTTTTATCATCGATAATAATAATTAATAACCTCAAAATAAATCATTTCTCATATATAATTATAAAATATTTATCTCATGATTAAAGGACGCATAATTAGATTAAATACATAAGTAGTATAATGATTGATTTAATCCTAATGTCGATGTTCCACCTATTGACCATTGCACAGTTTTGAGTCAAGGAATGAGACTTAACTAATATATTAAAAGGAAGTGTGGCAGTGAGAACTGAGAGCCTTTAATGCTCAACTGGCTTACATTACATACGGGCTTACATTACATATTAGGTAGTAAAAGTGGAGTCGTAAATGAGATCAGACAGGATAAGATGAGACATATCGTGAGTTATTCGAGATTAATTTAGTCAAAGTTCGATAAATACTTGATTTGAATAGACTCGATTCGAGTTTTTAACGAGCTAACGAAATAATTGATACTCAACTCGAAAACTCACGAGGAACTCGAAAATATAATATATTAAGATTATATTTTTTAAAAAATAAATTATTAATAATATTAATATTTGTGTGTTGATTTTTTTTTTAAATACAACATAAAATTTTCATGCATTTAAGGTTCAAATTCGAGCTTGAGTTTGAGGCTTCAATTGAGTTAAGTTTAAGATTTTTTTTTTCATTTCAAGCTTTTACGAGCATCAATTCATGGTTTCGAGTTCGAACTTGAAAATTTTAATCTCGTGAGTTTTCGAGTCAAGTCGAGCTCAGTGATACTCGAACTCGACTTAGCTCGTTTACAGCCTTAAGCAAGAGGACTTTCTCGCCCATATAAGGTAGTCGGAAAAAATATTTTCTCATATAAGACATTTATCGTATTATTTCCTAAACTAAGGTTATTGCTACAATCTCAAGGAAAAGGCGTCAAGAATACCACGCGATTTCATTTTTTTTATGAAAGATGCATGAATTACCATGCGCCTTCAACTTTGTAAAGAAAAAAAAAAGGTTAGTGAAATGAAAGACGTGCAACAATCTTGGAGTTTTCTCCAAATTTTATAGAACACGATGTGTCTTCTAAATTTATTATACCAAACACCCTAGTCTAGAAAATAATTGATAGAGTGGACTATTTGGGGAGTGTTTTTTTTTTCAAACACAATATTATAACCATTTCTCCGAAGCAAGAGCCAAGAGGGAGAATACGGGCTGTAAAAGAAAATAGAACTATTTCATATGATATATATTATATTGTACGAATTAAATTATCTTAATATTTAAAGCAATAGTTGTTATTCTTAAAATTTCCTGATTCGAGCATGATGTTTGCATAAGTATTTAAATGTTTATTATATTCTAGTCACCAAACCAATAATATATATATATATATACACACACAATTATCCATTTCTCCAAAAGCTAATCAAAACATTATTAGCTTTTGGAAAGTATGATCCTCTACCTTAAGAATTTAGAACTTACTGATTTCAAATTTGTTAATTGGATTAAATGCATAAATAAGTGTAGTGGTTGCTAAACAACAAAAAGTAGGCACAAACCATGGTGTTTCTTTGTTTTCTTTTCCAAGGAGAAAGAGAAGAAAGGCAAAAGGCAGGGACCAAGGCACATATAAGTTAAATAGGGCAGCTGCCGCCTGCTGAGACTGAGAACTAATGTTGAACACTCTACAGTTACTCGCCCCTTCCTATTTTTTACTGCACAGAAAGAGAAGCTTCTCTTTTCCATCATTAATACTATTACTCACTCTCTTGCAGACTTGCTGCTCTCTCACCATTTATTCCTTCCTCATTCTACACTTCTTCAACCACACCTAAACTGTGCAATAGGTGATTAAGAGAGAATTTGATATGGATAACTTTGATATTGAAGACCCATTGAAGAGCTTGGAAGATCATCAATCTGATTCAGTTCCAGCTCTCTTCTCTTCAGAATCTCATCACATGCCTTCTCTCAACTACTTCTATTGTTTAAAGACCAGTGACTTCCATGTTTCTTTCCGGCAGGAAGCCATTTCTCTCATTTTGCAGGCACCCCTTACTGTTCTCCTTTTCTATCTTTTTGTTTAATGTTGTTTACTGTTCTTGTCTTTTATCTTTTTGCATTTTGTTGTAAACTTGTTTTAGTTTGTCAGGCGCAGTATTCCTGTAACCTTGACCCTTACACGCAATACCTGGCTATCAACTACATGGATCGGTTCATCTCTTGGCAAGAAATCCCTGTATATCTCTTTCTATCTTTATTGTTTATGTATTTTCAACCAAACTTTAGTTAGATAGTGAAGAGTCGATTGAAAAACACAGAAATACCTCTAAATAAGATGCAGAGTTCTTATTCGTTGATGCATTGTAACAACAACTTATGCTGACATAAACGCAATTCATGTCGAACTTTGCAGCAAGGTAATCCATGGGTTGTGAGGCTCATTGTGATAGCTTGCATTTCTCTGGCCGCGAAGATGAAGGAAATACATTTCTCCTTCTCTGATTTTCAGGTATGAAAGAAGAAGCAGAAGCTACATTCGATTTTCATTTCCTTAAATTGTTTAGCCACATGCAAGATTACTAATAAACAGGTGAAACAGAGGGAAGAAAGATTCATATTTGATCCCCCAGTTATCCAACGAATGGAGCTTCTGGTTCTGGACGCCTTGAACTGGCGAATGAGATTGATAACACCCTTCTCCTTCATCACTTTCTATTTATCTTTGTTCGAACTTAAAGATCTACCTTTGTCACAAGCATTAAAAGACAGAGCAACCGATATAATCTTCCAAGCTCCTAACGGTAATTAAACACAACATATAAAGCATTTTTCTCTCCTGACAAAACTGTCTAAACGTGAAGAAAACTTTTTTTTTACAGAAATCAATCTGTTAGAGTTCAAGCCATCAATAACTGCAGCGTCAGCTCTTCTTCTGGCATGTCATGAGCTATTCCCGTTGCAGTTCCCATCTTTCGAAATCTCAATTTTGTCTTGTGAATACGTGAATAAAGTAAGCATGCTTGTACGCCAACAAATTATAGTTTTGTGTTAAAGAATAAATTTTGTTTTGTTTCATGTTCGTATAAATGAATGAAAGAATTCAACGACGAGTTTTTACAGGAGATGGTGCAGAAATGCTTTGATGCAATGCAAGAAATGGTGAATAACGAAGTGAGTGAATCGATGGTAGAGGTTGTGACAAGTTCAAGCACAAGAAACCCAATAAGTGTTTTGGACTGCCACTGCAGCAAATCAGAAAGCGAGAGTTCTACCAACAGCACCACGGCAGCCACCGTAACGCCCGAAAACAGAGGAATCAAGCGACGCAAATTGAATGGTTTTTGCAGCGAAAGTAATATGATGAACATTTCCCAGATTCAACCATGTGAATAAGAGTGTCAGCTAGGGAAAAGGGCCATGAATGGCACACTACCACTATTATAGCCCCTCATTGTCTCGCCCTTTTCTTTGACTAGTAAAAATTTTGAAAAATAAAATGAAATAATTGGAGACGAGAGAAATTAGGCAATCTAATCCATTTTGCTTGATGGTTTATTATTTGTTTATTTACTTGCCTCATTAAATTTAACCGGGTGACATGCCAACTGTTGGAGAAGGAACATGAAGTACCAAAACAAGGCTTTAAAATGTTAAAAATAGTACAAATTGTTACTGTGTTAATTTTCTGCTGTTTTGTAGCAAATAGGGAATAAAGCAATGCTTATGTAAAACTTATATTTTGATATAATAAATTTGGGCAAAATGTTTGTTGGAGTAAATTGAATTTATTTAAAGTTTTAAAAAATAATTCAAAGTCCGACTAAATTTGAAAGATATATGTTCAATGTTTCTAAACTTTATCAAAACTTTAAATTAAGTCTTTTAAGTTCAAATATATTAAAAATATCTTACAAATACTTTAGAATGTTTTTCAATATTTCTCAAAATGTCAAAAACTATATTTTTAAACAAGTTTTGACCACAAGTTTCGATATTTTTCAAGAATTTTGAAACTATCTCAAGAGTTTCGAAACTATCCCAAGAGTTTCAAAACTTTCCCTAAAGTTTCGATACTTTCGCTCTAACAATCATATTTTTCCAATGACTCTTTCGAAGAGTTTCAAAACTTTCCCATAGTTTCGAAACTTTGTGTGCAGAAAGTCCTCCAAACGACTAGCAACTCATTTCAACGTATAAAAACAAGCTCAAGACACTTGAAGAAGGTTACACAACACATATCCAAACAATCAAATACAAGAGAAAAACTTTTCATTCTTTATTTCTCTTTCTCTTGTAAATATTTGTGTTTTGTGAGCTTTAATTTGTAAACACCTTCCTTTTTATAAGTTTTATTGTTTACAATTTTTTTCTTTTGTAAATGGATTTTGGTTCTAACTAAGCTTTTGAAAAGCTAGGGAGTTTGTAAATGTTATCTCTTTATCATTGAAAAAGAAAGAACAAATTAGAGGATTTGTTGAAAAATCTTAAGTGAAGAGCTTATGTAGTGGATGTAAACTTTATTGAGGGAGTTGAACCACTATAAATCATTGTGCAAATTTTTCTATCTTTATTATCCTCACTCCCTAAATTTCTAAAAACCAATTCACCCCTCTTGACACATATTTCGGTTAATCGATCGAGCTTCATCGAACCTAACAACTTTCTTCAATAAGATATTTTAATGTGAAAAAATGGGATTTTTCTTGAAAAAAACATAAAAGGAAGTTTCATTTATCATGTCAAACTAGAGAACACGACAATGAATTGGTTAAAAAAAAGGACCAAAGAAAATGAATATTGGCGGGGAAGAAGCAGAGGCAAAAAACGTTCAAGGCACGTTGATGTCCTAAAAGATTATGGTATCTTTGTCTAGAAACTACACAATTTATGTGGTTGAAAGCAACCAGGGTGCAGGTGAGGGGAAGACAGTAACTGTCTTATCTTCGTGGGTATTGAGGTACCGTGAAGCACGAGAAACGCGGCAAGACTTAAGTGGTGGTTGGAATTTTTTGTTTTGTTTTTAAACACAAGAACAATCAGCTTAAACATAGCGAGGTTTTGTTATTTGGTCTTGTTTGTCAATTAGGGAATATGTTTTTGTAAGAAATGAATTGATTGCACCACTGCAGGTTTTGCCATTAATTGGTAGATTTGGATCATTGGGGCAAAGGTTGATGGTCCTGAATGAAGCTTTGGGGACCATCCTTTGGAGGGAAATATAGGAAATATTGTTTCTGTGGACAGAAAAAAGAAAACATCTTAAGAGCCACCACGTCATCGTAGATGGTTCAAGTATCAAAGCCCAAATTACATTTATGGTATAAAGGACGCTTTGGATTGGGATAGGAAAACAGAGTTCAAATATTAAATCTAGGCTTGCCCCTAACATTTACATATGTTCGGTTTAACGTCCTTAACGTCAACAAAAATTAACTATTTAATTTCAAATGATCCGTAAGGTGTAAAACTAAAAAAGTTTACACAGTGGATCCTAACTTATATACAAATGGTTAATCATAGTTTCACGTTAAGGAACAAGTTAAAAAGTCTATTTCCAAGGTATTTTCATTAAAATAAAGATAGTATACATTTCAGAGAAGCATCAAGAACAGTCGTGATGAATAAGGTAGCATGCAATCAATCTAGGTAAAGATGAAAGGACGAAACTGCCTCAAAGTCTACGAGAGAGAACTAAAAGTTGGATTGGATATCCTAAAATCTCCCCCAGACTACTACATTTAGTTTCCTTTTTATGCACATGGAAACACCGGTATGCATCTCGAATAAAACGGATCATCGTTCTTGCAGGATTCGACAATCCAAGCTGAAAAAACTTTGCTCTCTATTCTGCTTGAGCAACATCCTTCCATCAAAGAATAAATTGTCAGGGATGTTGGTAACTCACTGTTGTAGCCGATATTGATCTCTATCTTCCGAGTAAAGCTTCTCATGTTCTAGCATTACCATTGCCATTTAAATTATTTTGTGCCTCAGCCGTCTTAATTGACATAGGAGGAGGAGGGTGTAGCTCAAAGTGCGGTTTTCGGCCTTCAGCACAACTCATATATCACCACGACCGTGCCATGTACCATCTTGGCTTGGACATTGTTCATCTCCAACGTTCTAGACTCCTGCTCCATGTTAAAAGGAAAAGAATCTATTTATCGAACTTCAGGAAAATGATATTTTTTTTAAGAATTACTATTTGAAATACAGAATCAATTGCAATAAACTCTGAAGTTCAGGACTAGAATACATATAATCCCCAAACCTGCTCATATCTGGGCATTGCCCATTTCCAGGAATGGAGTTAAGAGTGTAGAAATATGAATTTTATCTTACCTGAAGAAAACAAAACCCGAAACCAGCCCGCCGCATGTTCTTCCCAAATCTGTAGCAGGGACAACTGCAATACCAAAACAAACTATTATATATATATATATATATTATACTGACGAGCTTTAAATTAAAATATTTACACTTTACAAAAATAATATAGACCGCTCTATTGAAACTACAACTCAACTGTACAATAAAATTTATAAATACACATTCACTTTGAAAAACGCTGAGAGGTACTTTGAATCTGCATTGGTCTGAAGTGAGTTTTGATCTATCTACTGCTCCTCACCTGCTGGATCTAGTGACCTGCCCACGGAAACAATCTGTTAGCTCAGCGACACACTAATAGCTAAAACATACTAAGTGCATATCACTGAAAGGCTAGCAATCAAGTCTATTGATCTGATATGCTTAATGAATATTTCTACACTACTGTAGACATCATGGTGCGACTGAGGGATTACTGCATCTCGGAGCTAACACACCCCTCTGGTCTACTGAGATATGCCCTCGAAATTTTGCATCGGACACCATACCCCTGACTAACCCACCCCTTGTGAGTGTCAGACATCGGCCTTAGTTAGTCAGTTTTAGGGGCCTCGCGCCCTAGCTAAGGATATCCAGACTACATCTATACTTTCGACTCCACTAGCTTTTCTAAAGGAACTCGAGTGTCCGAATTGTTTCCCGAACATCAAACAAGGCTAGTCTTATTTGTCCCTAATTATTTGGTTTATACGTTTGATTTAAACATTAAAATTGTTCCACTTGTTGTCTTATTTGATGATGTAATGAAGTGTCGGGGGTACCTCGTGTCTAAATCCCTAAAAAACTAATCTTTTTGCCCAAAACATACTGAAAGTATCAATACTAACCATGAGTATCGATACTCCAGAAAAAGTTCAATACTTTATATAAGTACTGATACTTTTAAACATTTTGTTCTGCCTACTTTCGATACTTTTTTAGAGTTTCGAAACTATGACCCAAAGTTTCTATACTCTTGTAAGAGTTTCGATACTCCTACCCATAAAACATGATTTTACTTAGAAACAAAGAACAAGTATCGATAATAACCATATAGTATCGATAGTCTACCTGCAGAAGTCATAAAACAAGCACGAAAAACTCTAATTTTCAATCCCAAAGGCCCTAATGAGGTCCCCAAAAATTCTTTAAAGTCTTATGTGATATTAAGGGAGCATAAATAAAGCTTAGAAACATGTTGAAAACAATAAACATAAAATCTACCATAGAAAGCTACTAAACATGCTTTATCTCAACTTCTAGCTAAAACTCATTTCTAATGATTCTACAACTAGTATGGAAAAGTTAATATTATGTTACCTAGATTCTTTGGATGCTAGAACACTTGAATCAACTAGGGATCCACTCTTCCTTTTCCCTTGGCTTGAACTCTCTCTTCAACCTCTTTAACTAATCAAGGTATAAAAATTGATTACTTACTTAACTAGGTGTTGGATAAAGCTTAGATACACTCCCTACAACTCAAACACTCTCCTAAAATGACTTAAAACACTTGATTTCTAAAAACCCTTTTTTAAAAAACTAAGCCAAAACTTAATATTAAGGGCTCTAATGGAAGCTTAGAAGATGAAGAATAGATTTCTTACCTTGGTTGCTTCAATCTAGGCTTAGGTTTCCTTAGAGTTTGATCTTTACTAGGGAGAAGGAAGGAAGAAGAAGAATATGGAGAAATAGAAAATGAAGAGATATTTTTGGAGAATGACTCACGTGAGATACTATAGGAGAGGGGGGTTTTAAGCTTTAAAAACAAGATATGGGTAAACTACACTTTTAGTTATTTCCCTTTATAACTTAAATTAAAAACATCACTTGACTTTTGGGCCAACCTTAAGTCCAATACCCTCTTTAAATGGTCCAAACTATCTTAGAAGGTCTAATGAGCTCACCTGACGGGTTTCGGGTTAACCGAAACTATTAACCCGCGTTCAATAATTAGTTGCGTTAGAAACTCTTCATTTTTCCTATTTCTTTTATAGGCAATATTAGTTTAACGGTTAAAAAGAAAATAACTTTTTAAAAATTTAAGGTCATATTTGAACGGTTCTCATATAATGTAATTTAATATAATTATATACTTATGATGTATTTAAATAAACATATTAATTTATAAATTTTATTGAATTGGTATAATAAGAAATTTTTATTTATATTATTTAATTCTTAGAGAATATGAGAAATCGATGTAATTATATATTTCAATTTTATAATTAATATTATTTAAAATTTATATAATTATAATTTTTTATCAATCATACCATAAAAGAATTATAATGTAATTATATTTCATCAAAAAAATTTACTACGGGCAATCCATTAAACTTTAAGTGATGCTTGAATGTAGGGATTTAAGAAGATGAAAATTAAACCGGACAATCACGAAGTGTTGAAGCATTAAGAATCTTAATTGAAAAGTATCATTTTCATCATAGTCTCTTCGCTTGTGGAATGAGTAGTGACGGGTCCAAAAATAAATTTTAGGATAGGTATATGTGTATTAGTACGAGGTGATCATAAATAAAATTTCAAGGTGAATATTTTTAGTAAAATAAACAACTAACATAGAAAAATAAAATTTTAAGGTCAACATATACCCACCCTGGATTCTACATGCATCCGCCCCTGGGAATGAGAAATAACATTATTGAGGCATGAATGCAAAATTAATGTGCATCATATAAATCGTGGCTTCTACCAAGAAAATATGTTAATATTTCTCTACAAAGAGGTAAGAAAGTTTTTGTCTTGGTTGCCCCGGGCCGCTACTACTTCCCCAAATGCAAGAGATCAGTTGGTTGTTTCAAGATGGATCCCATTCCCCGTGGCTTCTACCTATAAAATATGTTAATATTTCTCTATGTCGTTAGCTAGAGTCAATATATTTCTGCAATTATTGTTATATTTTATAGGTTTTCTCACAATTAGACATACTGTATCAACAATATTTAAAAGTATCTATCTTTTTACTGATATTTATACGCCAATATGAAACGGTTTCAATTCAGCGTAATGATTTATTTTGGGCCAGAGTATTGGAATCTTCAATGGTGTGCAGGCAGCTTGAGATGAAATTAGGAAAAGTGTAGCACACGAATATTCTAAACACTTGGCCCATTATGTTCCTTTTATTGGACCCTTTAGCTAGGCAAGTGAAATATACGTTACAGTTCAATTTGTCACAAGCCTATGGAGAAGATATTTGGTGTCCATTTGTACAGAACTTTCCATCTAGATCACAAAAAATAAACCACACAATTCCATTTCTCTTATTAACAACAGTCGCAATGTTTCACTTGCCTACAGAGGTGAAATGTCTAATTACATAAGGAATAAGGACTTGGCCTCTCCGTCCAGCCTAAGTTGGACCAATGGAGGAGCAGACGTGCACATTTGTATTTGAATCATTTTTTTTAATTTTATAATTAAACTAACATTTAAGATAATTAAAAAATTGAAAAAAACTATGATTCAATTTTGGTATAAAAATAATAAAAACCTTGGAAGCATCTCTCTTAATTTGAGATTTGCAACAGTTAAGCACTCCATCAAGAAACTATGTGGGGGGGGGGGGGAGTGAAAAAGAAAAACAAGGGGTCTAAAAGGCATGGGGGCAAGATTACGAAGATAATTTCACTGGGCATGTGTACGGACTGACACAGCCTACTATACCGAATTAAGATATTTAGGTAAAGACTACTGTTAATGGCAAAACATAAACCGGAAACAGTGCCTGATACTTTTTGGCTTTCTATAAATACTTTGTATCGCCAATTGATGCGAACCGCAAGGTAGGTATTTGTCTATGGGGATCCTCCTCCATAGATTGCATGTGCGCATAGTATTCCGGCATATATTTCATTTACATATTAGATCACTTCTTTCTTTTAGTATCAAATAGACATAATAATTCGTATTTTATATTTGCTTGTCTCTGATATTTTATTTTTATTTTTATGTAAATCTAAATATAAGATAAGTTATCCCATGTATTTAGGATTTGATATTAGCTAATGAGTTGAAATTTTGTAATTGTGAGAGTATTAGGATGGAATGTAGTAGGAAAACTTATGGGCTTGAGTTGGAACGTTTTGATGCTTGTTTTGCAATTTTTATTAATTAAGCGGGGTAATATTATATTTAAAAAATAAACGTCGAGATTCAAATACATATAAAATAAGATAATATAAACATTCTAAACCATTTGAGTAATTAATGAATATCTTTACTTTGTGCTTTAAATAATGACTTATGCCTTACTTAAAATAATAATAATAATAATACTAAATTGTTTTTAATTTAAAATAGAAAAATAAATTATTTAAATATTGAAACATTGATTACTAAATATATCATTTTAGTAATATCTAAAATAAATAAAAACATCAAACAACACTTATTATATTCCAAACCATGAAGAGATGTTTTTCAGTAACTTATACTAAATGGTTTTATTTCTATATTTATATTTAAACATTGTCGATCATGACATAGATCTGAGTTGATGGAGTTGGATAGTGTTTGACTCATGTTCGTTAAAAAATTTTGTTACTCAATTTGACTCGTTTCTCGTTAAACTCATTACAAAAAACATGTTGTTCGACTTAACTCCTTGTTCATTAAGCTGACCAAAAATGTTACCTTATTTTTTAACTGTATGCAAAATATACTAATATTATATAAAACTTAATATAGATGTAAACTAATAAATTTAACCAAAAAATTAACAAAAATGTGTATGAAGCAAATTTAAAGTCTAAACTCTAATGTAACAATCCACAAATATACCAAACTAGTAATTTAGTAAATTAATAGATTAACAATTTAATAGTAATTAGTAATTAGTAATTTATCATCTTCCCTATTATCTATTAGTAAATTAGTAATTATTATTTGAACTTTCGTATTCTGGATGAAATATTTTTTTAAAGTAACTACTACAAAAAAATATAAAAAGAAATTAACGAAGTGTCCGAGAACTTATCGAGTCGAGATCGAGTAGAGTCAACCCAAATTGAATATTAACTGAGTTTTGAGTTAGTTGATTCAATCTAAATTGAATGTTAACCGAGTTTTGAGTGAGTCGAGTTAAAAAAACTCATGAGCTTCTCAACTTATTGAGCACCCAGGGATGGACCGAGGGGGGCAGGTGGGGGTAGTATCTCCTTCAAATTTTAAAATTAGCATATATTTTAAATTTTCTCTATTTATTTCCTATTGAAAATCTGTTTTGCCCCCCTAGAATTTTAGTTGACCCCCTTAGAATTTTAGTTCATCCATCATAAGTTTAAGTTCGCTCCCCTAACATAAAATATAAAATCATGCGTCTGTCCCGGAAGCACCCCTAAGTATAAATTAATTTACCTCTATGAGTTAGTTCTATGTATAATTTTTTATTTGTTATTTTATAATATTTAATATAAGTAATTATTAATAAATTAATTTAATAATTATTAATGATTTATATAGAAAATTACCTTAAAATAATTTAAAATAGATTTCCGTAAAAAAGCGTTACAACTAAAATATATTTAGTCATTTTTTTAATAAAATGTATGATTTCTAATTAATGGGAGGTTTGTAAAATGATTCTACTGATTATAGTATTTTATATTTTTATATAGTGAATGAAGATTCAAAATATAAATTAGAAAATTTAATTTAAAATAAGATAAAATAATAATGCTAAAACTAGTACAAAGATGTTAAAAAAATATTAAAATATTTAAATGTTTGGACAACCTTAAATTAATATCCAAAATGTTTGGTCCATCATGTTTATAGATTGGACTGTTTAGGGGTGGGTAAAGCCCAAACTCATCATATCCTAGTTTTTCTAAGACGATCTAAGAAAAATGACAATCCTCCAACACGATGTCGTTTTGAGCTTCCATCCCCCTATTCGTCAAGGAGTTTCAAATGTAAAGTTAAAGGCAGAGTAGATAATTTGATGTCATAACGTCATAGGAAGGAAGGAAACATAAATTTTGGAGGAAGGATTGTCGACAATAACCAATGTACAGGTAAGAGGAAGTTGGTCGGGACCGGCATTTTTCTGGGGCCCTACTCTTTGTGTCTTTCCTCGAAGTTGAATGGGGAGGTACCAGCTGGTGGCGCTGGGTTTTTATTCAAGTTATGCAAAAAGGGTTGTGGTTTTATAAGGCAAATTTTCCGGGAAAAATAACTTATGCCTAGTTTTTACCCACCAGGGCCGCTAGAAATTGAGCAAGAATCGCACCTTTAATGTCAAGATTTTTTTCCTAAAGCATAAATAGGAAGCGATCGATATGTAGCCAGAGGCAGAGTTCCATTTCATGAAAGCCTTCTGGCTGCCAACCACTTCAGCTTTTATTCAGAAGCCATGCAACTAAAGGGTTTAGGAAGATCATAAATCAAAGCTCCCCATTGATTTATTCAACTTATGGAAATAAAGTTCATTTTTTAATTGGCAAAATCTCCGAGGAAAATATTATCAACGTTGCAGAGGTCTAATGACAGTTATAATGTGAACGAGAGACCCCTTGTTGAATTGCTGTTTTATAATTTAGTGGTTTTATCAGCAAAGAAGCAGGGCTGATACATGATGGGACAAATACGGTGAAAAACGAAACCGAACTGGAAGTAGTTCGAATATTTTGATATATATTTCATTTGCAAGCGGTACAAATTACAAAAGCCTGATAATTACTAATAGTTGGACAAACGGTCTAGAAATTGAGAATGGCTTCTACCAATAATTTTTTGGAGTCGTTCATCAACTCAGGACTGAGTCTAAGCATGAGGGTACAAAACTCCATCTCATTCAAAGCCCCATCCCCATCCATATCACCTTCCCTCAACATGAAAATCGCCTCCTCATCGCTCATCTCCTTCAATCCAAGCAACGCCGAGTTTCTCTTCAAGCTGTTGAAAGTGATCACTCCCTTGTCCCCGTCCACCAGCAACCCAAACCCATTGCTCAGCTCCTTCATAAAACCTTCAGCACCCAGTTTCTCAACCATCGTTGGGAAAAAATCTTCGAACACGAGAGCATTTTTGGACCCCATTTTTTCTTATTTGGTTTTCTTCTAAGCGTAAAGGAGAAGCTATGGGTTCTTTTGTTTGTATGATTTCGAAATGGAAACTAATGAAGAAAGTGGAGGTAAGCCGGGGGTATTTATATGTGATGGGAAGAGAATAAAGCTGTGGAGGGAAAAGGGAAGAAATGTTCGAGGAAAGAGTGTTATAATGAGAACAAATTAAAGGTGAAGATAAAACACATGACGTTGTTTGAGGAGGTTGTCCTTCCTCGAAGTTGCATGTTGTCCGAAAGGGATTGACTTGTTTTGGATTCAATTCACTTACGTTCTAAAACTCAATCAACAATATTTCGTAGCCTTTGTATTTTTTTTAATCAAGGTTTGTAGTATTGGATTCTGACAGGGGAGCATATTAGTTTGGGCAGTACGATTTGGCCCATTCTAAAACTGTCATAGCATTAGCGTACTTGGGCGTTTGTTTTGGGCTATGGAATTGGACCAATCAACCCAGAAAAACCAACTTCGATATATGCCTCTCTCCTTGTGTTTATTTTGTAAGAAATTCCTTCAATTTATTGGCGTGTGGCTATGCCAATTGCCAACAAACATGGCAATAAGTCAGTAACAATGACATTTCTCTCTTTATGATAATGAGTGTAAGAACCGACCAATAACGTTATGAAGTTTGAATTTTTTTTAAACCAGTGTAAATTCATGTTTGCTCACCAAAATCTGTGATCGATTACCAGGCTAAGAAATTTTCTTCCCATGTAGGCCCATCACAGTACTGTCTAAAAGTTAAAATTGGTCGTATTAAAGTCTTTTACGAATCTTCCAAGGAACAGAAAATAATTTTTTTATAGTTATTCTTAGCTGTGGAGCAGATTGAAGAGCAGGCAGGCCCTGATCTCCAACCACTCCAACTATCTTCAAGTTTCGTCTTGCGATCAAAGAATGTGAAGAAATTTCTAGACACTAAATCTTCCTGTTTCCACTTTAGCTTATGATTCCTCCTCACTTTTAAAAGAAATTGCATCGTATAAAGTTGAAGCTGACATTAAAGGGCCCGCATAATTGAAAATTCAACGAGCCTTCGTATGATTTTACAGCATCTGGAAAGCAGAGTCCGAAGAAGATGAATCCCCACGGCTTTTTTATTAGACGTTTAAAGATCAATCTTCTCATACAGTGGATGAAGATACACTACCAAACAAATGATAAAAATTCTATATTGTCCAACAAGACCCAATCATTTATATATTTACTTCTTGCTAGCTTGATGGGAGAATCATTTACACGTACAAGGTTTATGATGTCAATTTTCTTACAGACGTTGTAATCATGGATCCAACAGCTCTGGATCCCATACCATCCATGAATGACGAAAACATGTCGTTCGAACTTTTGTCTTGAAGTATGAGATATTAACTGCACCAAAAAGCTTAGCGGATTTTTTACACAACGGAGACACACTCGTATTCATCATCAATTATGTGAACTTTATGTAAAAGTATCTTTAGTATATTAATTGTAAACCATTTATTTAATAACATCTTTGTCATGAAATAATTTTGGGAAAATATCTAAGCTTGAGTTCTCTCTTACAAGTTACACACGTACCAGACTTGGTAGTCATATAGAAGACTACGATTCAACAAATTCAGTCAATTCTTTTTCTACTTTTAAGACTAAAATAACAATCAATTTTCTAACCGTAAATTGTGGTAGGGCTGCTTATCCAGCTACTCTGCACTAAAACAAGCCTTCTCCGTTCAACTAGTCAATTACATGCCTAGATTCTCTAACTTGACTGTTAAACACTAGGGTGGAAAGTTGCTAAATAATTGAAACATAATTTGATGTAGAGGAATGTAAGATGAGCAAAACATATGGGGAAATTGAAGGGGAACCTCTTGTTTTTTCTATCTGTAGTATCTTTGTTCTTGGAAAGTTTGATTGCCGTTGATACCATAACTCCATCACGCTCAATTGACGATAGCCAGACGATAGTTTCAGCGGGTCATAAATTTGAACTCGGTTTCTTCAATGGCGGGAACTCTGATAATCGATATATCGGAATCTGGTACAAGAACCTTCCTGTTCGGACTGTTGTGTGGGTCGCAAACAGAGAATCTCCGCTTGTAAATTCTTCTGGATTATTAACACTTGGAGATGATGGAACACTGTACATTGTCAATGATTCCAAGAGCATTATCTGGTCTTCGATTCCATCCCTGACGGCTAAAGATCCCGTTGCGGTGCTGTTAGATACAGGGAATTTCGTAGTGAAAGATGCGGGGGATAACAATGAGGAGAACTACATATGGCAAAGCTTTGACTATCCTTCGGACACATTGCTACCAGGCATGAAACTTGGTTGGAACAAGAAAACTGGTCTGAACAGACATCTGACATCATGGAAAAGTTCAGACGATCCTTCTCCCGGGGAATATACTTATATTGTAGATCCTCGTGGACTTCCTCAACTCGTCCTTCGCAAGGGATCCGATAAGCAGTTCAGAAGTGGACCATGGTATGGAACACAATTTAGTGGTGTCCCAGTTTTGAAGGTAAACCCGGTTTTCACTCCAATATTTATCTCCAATGCCGATGAAGTTTATTATTCATATAACATAACAGCCAATATCCCATCAAGGTTTGTGTTGAGTCAATCCGGCTCGGTTCAGCACCTTTCCTGGAATGATCGCCACTCTGATTGGTACCTCATATTCACAGTTCAACAAGATAGATGTGATAACTATGGCTTGTGTGGTAGCTACGGTACCTGCAACATTAACAGGACTCCCAACTGTGACTGCTTGAAGGGCTTTGAGCCCAAATTGTCCAAAGATTGGGATGTCCTTGACTGGTCAGGCGGATGTGTACGAAAAGATGAACGTGTATGCCATGAAGGAGAAGGGTTCCTGAAATTTACAGGGCTGAAACTGCCAGATGCATCTCAGTTTAGGGTGAATGTAAGTATGACAATCGAAGATTGCGAGGCAGAGTGCCTGAAGAATTGTTCTTGCACTGCATATGCTAAAGTAGACATTAAAGGCACAGGGAATGGCTGTGTAACCTGGTATGAAGACCTAATTGATATTAGAGAAGTTCCTGAATACGGACAAGATCTTTATATAAAAATGGCAGCTTCTACACTTGGTGAGATTTCTTTACCTAAATCCTAACAGTATTCCTTTTCATCAAATAAAGGATGCTTAGCATTGTCTGACGCAGGGCATATCATATAACAATTTTCATTCTTTCAGAGAGATGTTTCCTGAAATTTTTATTTTATTTTCAATTTTTATTGTTAGAAAGACATGCCGATACAAGCAACAATAGGAAGAATGTGACAATTGCGACAACTATATCAGTGGCTTCAACAATGATGATCTTGGTTCTGATTGGCTGGTTTGTGAATTGCAAGAAAAAGATGATTAGAGGTATGCTTTGCATGAACCTTGGCTTTACCTCTGTTTTACTTTCCTAATTCATCTTTGTTAACTTAACAGTGTTCCTATTAACAGCTCATCAACCAGAAAATCAAGTGACCATTAGCAAAGTTGAAAGTGACGATGTTTTTGAGCTCCCCTTAGTGAAATTTGCCACTATTCAAGCTGCTACTAACAACTTTTCTGCTTCAAACAAGATTGGTGAAGGTGGATTTGGACCAGTATACAAGGTGGAAATACATTTTCAGATTGTTCTTTCTTCTCTTCTTTCCCGTTGATGTTGCTAAACAATGCTTGAAATGATTAATAGGGTGCGCTGCAGTCCGGACAAGAAGTGGCTGTGAAGAGACTTGCAGAGAATTCTGGACAAGGCCTTCAAGAGTTCAAAAATGAAGTCCTTTTAATCTCCAAACTTCAACATAGAAATCTGGTGAAGCTACTAGGTTTTTGCATTGAAAGGGAAGAGAGAATGTTAATCTATGAGTACATGCCAAATAGAAGCTTCGACTCCTTTATCTTTGGTATCGATCACAACTTTCTATTCATTTTTTCTGATACGTATCTTTCGCAAATAGAAGCTGGACCGGTATTGATCCCTTTCGGTTTCAAGGTTAAGACTGTCAAACCATAAATGATGTACAATGGCTGCAGATGAAACAAGACGGCCTTCACTTGACTGGAGAAGAAGACATGACATCATTGTTGGGATATCTCGTGGGCTTCTTTATCTTCATAGAGACTCAAGGCTGAGAATCATCCACAGGGACCTAAAGGCCAGCAACGTTCTGTTGGACAACGATATGAATCCCAAAATTTCAGACTTCGGAATGGCGAGAACTTTCCGCGGGGATCAAACTGAAGCAAATACAAAAAGGATAGTTGGAACCTAGTAAGTACACAAGGTTGTGTTTCTGTATCAAAGTGTTATAAGATTTGAATTTTAGAGCTAAAAATGATCCTGTTGGCTTTGGTGATGAACACAGTGGTTATATGCCACCAGAGTATGCAATAGACGGACACTTCTCTTTGAAATCTGATGTGTTCAGCTTCGGGGTCATATTGTTGGAGATGGTGAGTGGAAAGAAGAACAGGGGTTTTTTCCATTCCACACATAAACTCAACCTTCTGGGGCATGTAAGTATATACACAGTGGACGTGGAATCAAATGTTATCTGTTAAATTTTGTGTTTAAACCGCTCTAACTCAACAATGAATGTTTAGGCCTGGAAGTTGTGGAACGAAGAGAAGGCCCTGGAATTAGTGGATGAATTGATGGAACTAGGTTTTCCAGAAGAGGAAGCACTAAGATGCATACAGGTAGGGCTCCTTTGTGTGCAACAAAGGCCAGAAGACAGGCCTGTGATGCAAACAGTGGTGTTGATGTTGGCTACCGAGAGTATGACATTGCCTCAACCTGGAAGACCTGGGTTCTATGCGGAGAGGTGTCTTTCCGAGACGGATTCATCGTCCATTGGGAATCTAATCTCGAATGAGATGACTGTTACCTTATTAGAGGGTCGTTAGCAATCAATCCACTGACATTTTGATTTTTGTATCATCAAAGCAATGAGAAAACCTTGTCAACATATTGAATTATCATCACCTCTCAGTTCTCACGTAACAAGCTGCTGAAAAACGGCTGCTTCATTTGAACCCAAGCCTTCGGCTTCAGGCTAGAAGCTTTGGCTCCTTAAAGGTTCCACAACATGACCCGATCTGTTGCTGAACATAAATCTTAGATCTTTGTTTGTAGTATTATTAATTAGAGCAAGTTTACTACACTTAATGCTTGCAATTAAATTGACATTATGTTCATAATCTTAGCATCTGGGTTTCATACATAGAAAGGAACAACATTTTGAATTGTCATGGTCAGATTCGAGACAGGCAGTAGCAAAGGCAGTGGATCCTTCAGTGCAGTGATTCTCTCAATTCCTCACGCTCTAGATGCTCCTATGATAGAATTAGTTCAAATTTATTTGATATGTTTGAATAATGATAATAATACAATCTGGGGTCAAAATTCAAATGAAATCTCCTTTGAAGAAGGAACATTTCCGATATGTCAAATAGCATGAGAAAACAAATAAAAGAATAAGTTGGGGACAAATCATTTTTCCCATCAACACCTGGAAAATTTGAAAGAATCTGTAACAATGGTGTGAGAGAACTTCCTTGGAAGGCTATTATAAGCCATAGAGTGTTGATTCGAAAATGCCACACGATATTGGATTCAAAGGAGAGAAAAGAAATGACCCTTTTCAAGCTAAGGAAGAAGATAACTTGTGGTGGAAGATAGAAAGTATTGTTTGAGTTCTTCATTAGATTAGCCAAAACAAGGAAAGTGAACAACTTTTACTAAAGTGACGGATCTAAGCTCATACATTGATGGAGCTCATATATACTTTACTAACATCAACAGGGATGCCCAGATGCTTTCCCTTTTCAGTATTCCATTTTATGTCTCCATCTTTGTACTTTACTGTAACCCAAAGGAAAAAAATTTAAAAGATAGAAATTGAAATCAACTGGTATTGGAATATACTTAATTTTTTCAATATAATTATTTGTACGAGATGATATGTAACAAGTTTGATTCTGTTGTCTGGGCTTCTAAATATGGCTGGAAGATAAAAGGGCCTTGCATTTCACCCTAAGTCCTTTTTTTTTTTTTCTTTTTCGCAAACGACATTCTGGTCCTTTTGAAAGCGAATTTAGACCCTATTTCTGCAATCATAGATCTGGCGGGTGTGCGTTGTAGCATGTCAGGTCTTCAAATGAATAGATTGAAAAGTGAGATTTTGAGTTCTGGATTAACGCGGGCAGAACTTCAAGATGTTATTGACCGCACTGGACTGGACTGAAGCTCGGAACTCTTCCTGTACGACATCTTGGACCTCCCTTGGTAACTAAGAATCTTAGAGAACCTGACTGTGGCTCACTGGTGGGGAAGATTACGCAGTGAATTAGAAATCTACCTTCTCACTTCTCCTTTTAAATATATATTATTTGGGTAAACTATACCCTTCATCACTTAACTATTTAGTTATTTTACTTTTGTCGATCTTTTAATTTTATCAATCACACCACTTAATTATTTAATTATATTAATCAAACCACCTTCCGATAATATCTAACGGAAGCATGCTTAGTTCATAAAATCGATATAATTATACTTTTAGTCTTCAATACTTATATATTCTATCAATTTAATCATAAATTTAATTATTTTTTAATTGTGTATTTATATTCCAACTAAATAGTGACACATGTACCATTTGTTTGATGGAAAATCAAATTTCGATTAAAAGCAGAGACAATGAAGTCATTCAGAACCGAACTTTGGACAATGGGAAGCATACGCGCGCACCTAGCCACTGAACCAGGCACCATGTTTGCGTAACAACACTTTATCTATTTTAGTTAATCCGACGCCATGATATGGAGCCATTTCAACGCTGGGAATGGTAGAGCAAATTTTGGATACTTTTTAATTATCTAAAATTTTTAAATATTATTAGAAAAATATAAATATTTAAATTAAGAAAAGAATGAAATATTTTTTTGGTTATTTTTAAATTAAGATATAAATTAAAAAATTAAAAAAAGTAAGATAAGAACATATATTTTTTAAATTAAGATAAAAATATATATTTAATAATTTAATTTAATAATTTAAGATAAAAATAAAATATATTTTAAAGTTGAGCTCTATTAAAATAAAGAAAAATATTTTTAATAGTTAAGATAAAAATAAAATATATTTTTAAGTTAAAATAAAAATAATATATATTTTTAAGTTAAATATAAAAATAAAAATATTTTTAAAAAAATTATATGTGAAATTAATTTAATATTTGTATTTAAATTAAGATATATATTAAGAATTTAGAATTTAGAATACAAAATATATACTCTGAAGTTGGAAATCCAACACCAAGTTATCCACCTGGCTCAATGGTTTGGTGTGATGGTAAAGTTGCGAGGCATTCCCCCTTTTGCTTGGGTTTTATTCCTTTCGGCATCTTTAATATTATTTAAGCCGTTTTGACAACAATTAAAGAGGACATGTGTCACCCTTTGATTGGGTTTTAAATATATTAAATCAAATATATTAAAATAAAATTTAATTAAGTGATGACAAGTGTTATCATCTGATTGGAAGATTAAATTTATTAAATTAATTTAAATTAGTGTTAAATTGATAGAATATACAAAATTGAGGACTAAATGTATAAATATATCAACTTTGTTAATACGTCATTACTTCTGTCAAATATTAACGGTAAGTGGTTTGATTGAATACAATTAAATAATTAAGTGGTTTGATTGGTAAAATTAAAGGATCTATGGTAAAATTAAAATAACTAAATAGTTAAGTGGTCGATACTATAGTTTACCCGTCTTATTTTTAAAGAAAACTTTTTTTTTTAAATCCTTATTGCCCCGTCCCCGTCCCCGTCCCCTTCTCCTTTATCCTTTCTCTTTTCCCCTTTCCACAACAGAGCACAAAAATAAGAAGATGGTTGCCGATAGCGCCATAGTGCTAGTAGAGGACAATAACGACCAATTAAATTTAAGATTAGGGTTATGGTTAAGGATATTAGGGTTTAGGTATTTAAGGATTTTAGGTAATGTAAAAGGTAATTATCAGTTAAAAAGTGGTGACCATAGGTAGATGATCTTTCGACGAGAATGTGATTATAGATGATTGAAGGCGGTTGAAAATGAGTTTAAAATTATAGATTTGAGGTTGTAGGGTTTTATTTTATAATTTTTTTAAATTATATTTTTTATAAATAAATTAAGATTTTTTTTTTATTTTTTAAAATAATATTTTTATTATAAAAATTTAAAATATAAGGATAGGCAACAAAAATTTAACGGAAAAAGTATTAGATACTTGATGTTATCAAAAACATTTTAAATGCCAAATTGTATTTTAAAATATAATTTAGAAACTAAAACGTGTTAAGTTAAAGCAAAAACTAAAAGCAGGAACAGTGGGCCGCCTTCTGGCTTCCACTACCACTACCTGCAAATATATATGTGGAAAATATAAAGACGGTCGACAGAGCTCCACTCAATTCCAGTCTTCAACAACAAGAAGCAAAAGATGATCTATAGAACCTCTTTAATTAATCTATCTATCTTTATTTAAGTAAAAGATGATGGCTGCACTCAAAAGGAACAAAAGGGCTCTTTAACCCCCCCCCCCCAAATCTGCTAAATTCAGCTCCTAAACCATCAACAGATTTTCGCTGAATTTAGCACCTGTTCCTTCTTTAATTACTTCCAACATATATTTAATTAATACTTGTATTGCGCGCGCGCACACACAAAGAACTATTAACTATACAAAGGTTATCTTTTTTAATCCTTCCAAGGGTTTGCTTCCTAATCATTTGCTAGCCCCTTGGCCCAGCAGTTCAGCACACCGTTCGTCTCTTTGTCCATCTTCGAATAATATTTCCTTTCCTCCTCTCTTTTTTTCTTTGTTTTCTTTAGCTTTTTATCAAGACTGATATCCGATGCAGCAAAGCAATGTAGCCAGCCTGCTAAGTTTTCCACTACCTTTTCTTTATTTACACTTTATGGATATTGAAGTTATGGCCGGACTGGGGTCTGGTATTTAATCTACCGCAGTATAGTTGTTGTACAAACTCCTTTTAGCTTTTATTTAATTGTCTTCTGTTCCCTACCCGAAAGTCCCCCAAACGTTGGCGTCCAAAAATCAACTGTGGTCTCGTTAGCAACCGGGAATGTGCTGGAGATTGGCACCAAACAAAGCCCAAGGCTCCTTAGATCTCGTTCCGGACTTTCAGTACTCTGCAAGAAAAAAAAAGTACGACATGTTCGGACAGTTAGTGCATTATTCAAATAGTAATTAACCTTGTTATTATTGGCACACTGAAAATGATGGCCCCTTATCACCAAAGTCTTATTTTTTGTATTTTTATGGATACCTGTTGTTGTTGTACTGAAGCTGCTGCTTGTTTCATATATGGAGTACTTAGAAACTGAAATTACGAAAGATTTGAATTTTCTCAGTCCATATTCAGAATACTCTTGAGGGTAATGGTATCCACTCGTCTTTATGTTATATTAAGAAAGTAGAGTAATGCTGATGCGATCTTAAAATAAATATAAAGAAGATAGAGGAACATACATCGACTTGTTCGTGGAGGAACTTGATGTATTCAATAGCTTCATGAAGAACAGATGCAGTATCGGTCTGGAAAAATGAATAAGAAAAAAAAAGCGTAAGGCAAAGAATAATCCAAAGGCGAAGATAAAGGCAAAGCTTTCAATGATATTATCAAAAGGAAAAAAAATTGTAAAAAGTAAAGTTTTAAGAAAATTCCAAAATTTCACCTTTCCGAAAGGTGAAACCAATTGCTGGAGCGCAGTGATTCGGTCCCCAAGCTTCTCTTTTCGAACCTGATAAAATTTGCTATCAAATTTCATATCTTATTCTTTGAATAAACGATCACTATGGTTCCACCTGTAAACAAATCTGGTCGAATTTATATTTTAGTACCTTCAAAGCTGGTAATGGCGATGGCGTTTCAATCCTTGGCCTCTTCAATAACGTAGTCTCACTGCTTAATCCTTTCTTCATCGTTGACCCCGACTTCCGAGCTTCTTCTGTATTAGTCTATGAAACCAATCCACAACATGAAATAAATAAATCAAAATTGATCCTGAAACCCTAGCCCTGGATCCAAGCATGAACATATTTATTTACCATTTTCGTTAGGCCCGGACAACTAGGTTTTTTTTCTAATGATTGTAAAAGAAACTCGGATTGCAGCCGCGAGGGTAAAAAGCCGGCTTTGACGTCGTTTACACCAGCGGCGGAAGCGTTCCAAAAAGGTGCGTTGT